AAAAAAAAAAAAAAAAAAACTAATTTTAAGATAGTATAGTCAGAAGTGGTAGCAATGTCTTTAATCCCAGCACCTGGGAGGCAAAGGCAGGCGGAAAGGCCAGACTGGTCTACGTAGTAAGTTCTAGGCCAGCCAGAGCTACAGAAAGACACTGTCTCAAAAAACAAAAACGAACAAAAAAATGATGGTATAAGAAAAATGTTAAGTGTAAACTAAATAATAACATAGGTAAGTTATAGCATACTTTCAGTCTTCTATACTTTTTTGAATGCCTCTAACTTGGTATTTAGCCAAGGCAGACCTTGAACTTCAATTCCTCCTGATTCCACCTCCCACGTGCTGGAATTACAGCTGGGTTTATTCAATAAGGGAGATCAAACCCAGGGGCTCAAGCATGCTAAGCAAGCACTCTTAACTGAGCTATAGCCCCAGTCCTCTTCTAGTTTTCTCGTGTGGCTTAGATCTGGCCAGAGGCATTCAGTCCCTCCTGACAGTTTCTCTCTACTACCTCCTTCTCCTTCTCCTCCTTCAGACCTCGTTAGTGCTAACTGACTTGGTCCCCAAAGTCTAAGATTTGGGTAACAACACATACACCATGAAGTTACTTTCACCTTGACTAATCACAATCCTTAATTCAGAACCAGTCACAGAACTATCCTAAAGCCAGTTCTCTGGTTCCTGTCTTTTTTTATTTTATTTTATTTTTTATTTTATGTGTATGCATGTATTATCTGCATGTAGGTAAGTGCACCCATGTTGTGCAATGCCCACAGAGGTCAAGACAGGCTGTCGGAACCCCTGGGATTGGAACAGTTGTTACAAACAGTTGTTAGCTGCCATGTGGATGCTGGGATTCGAACTCGGGTCTTCTGCAAGAACAACCAGTGTTCTTAACTGCTGAGCCATCTCTCTAGCCCCTCCTGTCTTTTCTTGTAATCCCCAGTAACCACTCAAGGTTCAGTCTACCATGTCTGGCACCTCACACTGCATCTTCTTTGAAAAAGAAAATGACTACCAGAATTTTCTCTACTGAAATCCATGAAGACTTAAAAAGCAGAGTACTACTAAAAAAAAATTGAGTCTTGGGGCTGGGGAGGTGGCTCAGTCAGTAAAGTGCTTGCAAAAGGTCAGGCAAGGTGGCATAAGACTGATCCTAGCACTGGAGAGGGGAACACTGGAGGATCCACGGAGCTTACTGGCCAGCTACTCTGGCTGAATTAAAGAACTCCTGGTTCAGAGAGGCTCTGTCTCAAAAAATAAGGTTAAGAGTGATTTGAGGAAGACACCTGACATCAACCTTTAACCTCCACATGTAGGCGCATATGTGCACACACACCACCACACACTCACAAAATAAAAGTTTTTAAATTGTTCAAAACAGGGTAAGTAGAATCTGCAAAGGAAAGCTTAACAGAAATAGGCCAAGAACATAAAAGAATTTAAGCACAGGTTTAAGAAAAAGCCAAGCCGGGTGTGGTGGCGCACGCCTTTAATCCCAGCACTTGGGAGGCAGAGGCAGGCGGATCTTTATGAGTTCAAAGCCAGCCTGGTCTACATAGTGAGTTCCAGGACAGCTGGGGCTACAAGGAGACCCTGTCTCAAAAAGACAAAAAAAAAAAAAAGAAAAGAAAAAGCCAAATAAAACAGCTAACATGACGTCAAGATACTAAGAAAAACAAAACACAATAAAGATAGTAAAGGGAAGTCCAAGGTGTGGGTGATGTTAAGAAATTAGTCAGGCTAGGCATGATGGCACAAACCTTTAACCCCAGCATTTTCAAAGCAAAAGTAGGCAGATCTCTGTGAGATCCAGGCCAGCTTGGCCTACATATCAAGTTCTAGGTCAGCTACAGAACACCCTGTCTCAAAAAAAAAAAGAAAGAAATTAGCCACATATGGTGGCACACATCTGTAATCCCATCACTTAGGTAGCTGAGGTAGAAGGATGGCAAACTCAAGGTCAGCCTGAGTTACATAATCAGATCAGAACCTTTATGGGATAGGGAGAGGGAAGAGAGGGAGAGGAAAGATTAATGTTTTAATCTTTTAGGCATGATAACAGGAAGTGGGGTTTTATTATATCATTTATTTTTGTTTTAGGAGCCAAGTTGGCTTACAGCTCTGTAGCTAAGGCTTGTCTTGAACTCCTGATCCTCTTCCACCTCCTAATATTAACACACTGATATTTCTGAAGATTATTTATCTTTTGAGGGCACCTAATAAAATACTGACAAAAAGCCAGGTGTGGTGGCACACGCCTTTATTCCTAGCACTTGGGAGACAGTGGCAGGCAGCTCTCTGGTCTACATAGCGAATTCCAGGCTAGCTGGGGCTACAGGGAGATCCTGTCTCAAAAAAAAGAATTTTAAAAAATATTGACTGTGATAATGGTATTTAGAAACCACATCAAAATCTAGTATGGGTATGATAGGATGCAGGTGTAAGAGTTCAAACAAATAGTCATAAGTTACTAAATGTTAAATAATGGTTACACTGGGTTCCTTATAC